CCATCCATAACTAAAGCAAAAAGATATGGGCTTAAAGCCGATCCCTGATGTAATCCAACAGAAATAGGAAAATATTTTGTCAATCCTCCTTCAGTTTGAACACAAGTAAAAGCTCTAGTATACATATCTTTAATGACTTGAATATAAGTCATATCAACACATTTCTTCTCGAGAACTCTCCAAAGGATATCTCTTGAAACCTTATCGTAAGCTTTTTCTAAATCAATAAAAATCAAATGTAGATTCTCAATGGACACGAAAATTCATTCAATTGGCTTTTGAAAGAAGACAACCTCTAGAAGATTCATTGAATGATGACACATTTTAAAGAGACCACATCTTTTGAATTTTTATAAAAAAAGACTTGGATCATCCATGAAAGAGGTCAATCATCATCATCCATCCAGACCGACCGGTGCCATTCGCCACATCGCCGCCGTCGCTGCCCATCTTTTTTTTTTGTTTTTAGTGTATTTTTATTGTGAGTGAAGGAAGAGATTCAAATAAACTTCAAGACAGTTGCTGGAGAGAAATTTGGGATAATTTTTTATCTCATCGACTTCTTTTTTGCTAACGCGACGGTAAAAATGAAACGTTTTATTATTATTGACGAAATTAAGGTCATTAAGGTCGATCGTATTTTCAGATCTCATTAAAAAGTTTATCAAAATAACTCACCCACCTATGTTAAATATCTTTTTCTAAGAAAAATACTTTTTGATTTTCATCTTTGACACATTTTACTTCAGTTTAATCTTTACTTTTCTTTTCTCTTTGTTTGGCTAGTATATACATATATTTTTCATCCTCCTTAGTATCTAATCTTTTATAAAGATCATTAAAAGCAAAATTTTTAGCGTCCCAGATTGTTCTTTTGGACTCCCTGCGGGCCGTTTGATATTTTTCTCAGTTCTCTAAGCTTTTACATTTAAACCAATTTTTATAACATAACTTCTTATATTTTATCTTTTCTTGAACATTATAATTCCACCACAAATTATTTTTATTTATAAAAATTTTTTATTTTGATTCTCCAAGCACATCTTTTGCTACTTGTTTAATAGTGTTTGTTACTTTATCAGTGTTTGTTACTTTATCGTTACTTTATCTCACATAACATTTGTTTTTTCATGAATATCCCAAATTTTGAAATCTTGAATTTTACTCATAAAAATATTTTTGTTTGTATCTTTTAAGTTTCTCCATCTAATTCTACGATGATGACTCCTTATATTGAGTCATAGTATTTTTTATTTTACAGCTCTTAAACTTAAAATCTAAAACTAATAAACGATG